TATATATATATATATATATATATATATATATATATATATATATATATATATATATGGCTACTGCCAACCAGCGGCCGCAGCCTATGGTGAGTAAACCGTTCTGACCGCCTTCCAGCGACAGTAGTGTTCTACCACCGAAGTCAGCGGATGGAAAGCCAACATCCGGGGCTTATAACCCCGTCGGTGAACCAATGGTAGTTCGCATGAGGGATGGGGTTAAAAACCCTGATTCCAAACCAACCAAGAGGAGGTGTACGAACCACACACATGTCGCTTGATTCACCGAGGAGGAAGCGAAAATCCCAGAAAACATTACGTAGAGAGAATGCGCTGACATTTCCATTTCGTAATGTTGTTTAACAGCGAAAAAAGATTCGAAATATGTTTGTGGAAATGTATTAAGATATTATCCGCTCGGGTGTTTGAAGACTTTTTAGCGAATGCTTGCCAATGATCATCCACTTTTTGTTGTATTTGCTGCGTTCGTTCGACACAGTATTTTTATTCTCACAGTTTCGTCATCGCAGTATTGTATCTCGTTACTGCCCTTGGCGAACCATCATTAAATGATTTGGACGGTTATAAGGCAAAACATAGGTTCTCTTATTGTCAGGGGCTGGAATCCGGACGGTTTATCTTTGTAATTGAGTGTTCTGGTTAGCACCCATAAGCACACTTACAAACAGACCAGCGAAATATCAAGTGGTGAATCATTCTCGAGTACGTTGATTCACTATCAGACCCCGGTTTCTTGATTGAGCGTGTAACAAATCTGTCAAAAGGACTTGGTGCGGGGGTCTACTGAGGTGGATTGAACTGTGAAGTCGGTTCTTGAAGCAGAGTGAATAGACCCGGGTTGATTGAACGGTGGCAATGTGTATCTAGGGTACTCATCGCTAAGGTACGTTTCTCTTAGTGGCACTGCTGAGTGGAATCAACATAGTTTTCCTTGTGTTTACTTTGCTGATTTACCTTTCTTTTGTTGTTTCAAAGCATTATTTGAGGTTTTGTCGTATGGTATCTACTTTTGATTTTTGTGTCAAGAACTGAACATCCGTAATCTCGTCACGGTTCTTTCTGCAGATATTCTTCGGGGATACAAACAGCCTGTATTCGAAGTCACTCCTTCGCATGATCTGATCGAACAGAGTTATCTGACATCGGCCATTGTATCATCATCCGCGTATTTTCCTCCTAAGAGCCCCGTCTTTAACCAGGATGATGTGAAAAATGCGCTACAGTCCGCTCTCGATACTGATCAGGAACCTCCCTCTTGTATTCGCAGCCCAGTGTTTCATCGAAATCCATTCAGCAGTTCTCTGCAAAGTTCCTCATGGCGTACCCCCACACCTACTAAATCCGACCTGTCTAACTGCGAGGACCTCATTGGTGAACCGTCGACTTCTCCCATTTTGGACGGAATCCCAGCTGCATGCATGCTCGAACGAAGGTATTCGCAACCTGGAAGTTTCGGTTTTGCATCATATGCCCTCAAATCACAGTCTTATGTGGGATTCGGATCGTAAATGGTTCTCAACTCTTGACTTTCTTAGGACACTGCCTAAAATTTAAGAATAGGGGTGGAAACTCTCCCACCTCCGAATGCAAACTTACTAAATTACTTAAACTCAGTGGAGTGTTGGGACAGATGTTGCACTTCGTTATTTTATCGGTATAGGGCAGTTCTTTGGGCGGTAACAAGTAGACGTTTCAAATGCATGTTATCGGTGCGTCAGCAATCGGGGCCTAAATTGACATCACTCCAGTCTTCGACAGCGCAGAGCTGTTGGACTGACCATGGCCATAATCGGCACTGGACGATTTTGGTGGTGCATTGTAATGAGGGAGTCTGGACAACCAATGATTCTGACTACGAACACAGAGACTGTGAAACACTGGATTCACTGTTTCGAGAAGGACGGAGACAAGAGGCAGAAGAATAAAGGAAGGAATAGTCTATATCTCTATAGTTTGGGCGAGGAAAAAATGAGGAACCATGTTCAGAGGCTGCATTCAGAAAACCATCAAAGTCAAAGTTTTATTATGGGGAATACTTACAAACAGTTGCTTTTCTTGTCCCATAGGGTTTTTCGCACAAATTGGTAGATTTACGGTTCACAGAAAGACAGGAACTGTCACAAATTTTCGTTATTTCGTGCTGTGCTGCAGACATTGAAATTTAAGGCTTGCCAATGTTTCATCCAGTTTATGCTTGAAAGAATCAAATGTGGACTTGAACACAACGTGAGGTGATACAGAATTCCAAATACTGTTCACTCTGAGGGTAAATGAATGACGCTGGCATTCTAGTCGACATTTTTGCAGCACCATTTTGAATGAGTACCCCCTGAAGTGAATGTTGGGCGACAAGCCACACAATGAACGACATGGTTGATACGCGTTCTCCATTATTCGATACACCAAAATCAAGTCTCGTCGAATTCGGCGATAGTGTGGAATTCAACCCCAACGATTCCAGTTCTTCCTCATAAATCTTGGAATGCAGTCCCTCGACTATCTTAGTGGCCATTCGTTGTGAAAATTCCGGAGTCTTGCGATCGCGTTGTAGTCATGGATTCCACGCACGAATGAGGTACTCTGTTTTGGGTCGAACGTAGGCTGATAAACTTGGAAACAATATAGGTTCTAATTTGCTAAGTACTTTGCTTTAGCAAACCAACGTGTCTTGCAGCAAAGGACGATACCGTGGGGCAGTTTAAAGAACGGCTTAGGTCGTCTTAATCATTCAAGGTATACGGAAGTTATTGATAATCCAGGAAGTATGGGGTTTTGTGGGGAAGGGGAACCATCGTACTGTTGTGTCACCCTCCTTACAACCCACATTTGTGATCTGTACCCCGGTCATCTGGTAGAGAAGGATTACTTCTTGTCCTCATGGTGATATGGGTACTGCTGATGCATGTTACAATTTCTTGGATGTTTTTTGCAGTTTCATTGAGTATTTAGGTGAAATTTGTATCAAGAAATTCGTAACCTCAGTTCTAACTAAAATACTTCATTTTTCATCAGCACTTCCAAGACACCCGTCCGCTCCGACTTTCCAAGATTAGAAACGACACCAGTGCGGAAATCCAGGAATACGAATGGCTCTTCATCACCGGTATACCAAACAGTACCACTGCAATTTCCGCAATTAGAAGCCACAGAGGATGAAGACTTCGTCGAAAAATCACCGAATTTTCTCGATGCTCATAGATTCCAACCAAGTCCACTCTCGGGTCAAGACTCTCAGAATCCCACTCGTTGTAATTATCCTCTAGCGAATTCATCGGATGCGGTCCGACAGTGGAGCTTTACATCAAACAATCAGACCAGGCGTTCGACTGCTACCCTCCGGAATCGCTCGGTCAGTGCAATGATCTCAGTGATAAAATTTACCCGCTATCTGTTAGTCAACGTTGTGTTCCTACTGTTGTGGGTCATGTAGAGTCTCTGGTTGTGGATGGCAATCGAATATTTATGCTTTCGCCGCGGTGTACTGGCGGATTTTCATGTATATTGCGTGAATTGATAACGGTACACGAGCATTGTTTGGACGAAATAGTGGTGATATAGATCCTGTCGTTAGATTATGCTGACGACAAATGCATGAACGTCACTTACTTCGTTGACCGGACCGCTCACTTTGTATCTGTAACTGAAATTTTGCGGTGTGCAATGATAGAGCGCGAAAGGTAATAGGTGATCTGCACGAGCTGCATCATGAACGTACGATTTGTGATTCTCCATTCCGTTTAGTTTAACCTCGTATTTTTTTCGGCATCGTTTTTCTGACTGGCATCTATGCCTGATCTAGGTTTATCGTTGTTAGTCATTGAGAAATTTCACGGTCCATTGTTTGAGATTTTTTTACTGCCTAATATGTTAGCGTTTTTGACGCATTTCTCTCTTAGGTCTTTGAGTTTAAGTATTCATACCCTGGGAGTGGTTAGGCGTCATTTTCTAGGTTTTTGGTTAACTTCGCCAGAAGAAGAAGCACTTTTGTTTATCGATGGTTTGTTCTCTTAGCCTGCGGCCTTGCACACTGCTAAACTGTTTCATCTTCACTTTCTTACAGGGATCCCGTCACGGTTCGAAGAATGATATCAAAACTTGTGGTCCTTCTGTTCCAAATGGCAAAATAGACTCTTTCTTCAAACAATGGCAATTTCGCCCTAGCTGACTTTTCCCTCACTTCTTTCCCTGTCTTCTTCCGACACATGCGATGCACATAAAATTGTATTTTAGCAATATAAATGAATACTTCGCATGCAACGATTAAGTTTCAGTTGTTTTTGTCCCTCATCCTTATTTACATTGAAAAGCAACATTGATCTGAGGGAGAGTAAATGCCAACTCACTCTTCGATCAATCGGTGTCCACGGCACATTGTACAGATCTATTGAGGCCAACCGAAGACGTTTCTATCGGTGTTAGATATAGAGTATTAAGTAGTCACAACCACGCATTACCTTGACCATCGTCGTTTGTTGTATTTGAACTGTGTTGGACACAATACTCCGTATAATTGTTCTGTATGCTATACTTCCCGGGGCAAATAGGATTGGAAGAAAGCCAACGATGTTCAGATCATAACCTGATGTGTTGGAATGAAAAATTTGACAACGGACTTGGACAAAACTTCTCGTTTGAGAATATCGGGACCCGTTTGGTCGCTGTTCGAGATGCGGGGCGATGTAGTAGAGTTATATATGCACAAGTGCTCGTACATCTAGTTAATTCCTATTCTATCTTCATTTTGATGCTGTTCTCAGCGTTTTACTCCTTCATTGATCGGTACCCGAGAGACAGCAATCAAAACGGACGAGCGAAAACGCTAGGTTAATATTTGTATAACTTGAAGCTGAAACGTTTGTCAGCCTCTGGGAGAATGGCAAAACCATACTATTATAATTCGTCGGAGTGAGAATTTGCAATCATTTGTGAGTGCAACAAGAATCCTTATAATGAAAGAAGGGTGTCGCAAACAGTGGTGCTCATGCATCTACTCATTATTCTCGTAACTTCAGTCTATGAAAGTGTGCTATCTTCCTCTTGAATCTGCTCTCAACATTCTAATCATCATTTCGCTGTTTTATCCAAATGGGCAACCAAAACCGGTGCACGAAAGTGCATGGTTAATGGTTGTAAGAACTGAACTGAATATAATGAAAGAAAGGTGATGCTGTTAGTATGATTTTTAGCTGCATGGTGACCATTCGTTGAATGAATATCGTAATTCAAGATATGTAGAATTTTTCACTGCCCTTTCATTTAATAAAAGTACAAAGTATTCCAGAGTTTGTTTCATACTTGCTCCCCGATTATGAAAAATACAAAGCTTTGTTTGAAATCTATTAGAAATGAGGAATTCACAGATGGATATTTTTGCTCACGATTTTAACTCCCAACCGCTTGAGAATGTCATTCCTTGGGTGATGACATACTTCACGCAGCTGCTGACTAATTTTCCCCTCCACCGCTCGTTCTACGATCTCGCTAGTTTCCGCGCGATTAATATGCCTATTCTGAATTGTTTTCTATTGCGGACGACGAGTATGGATTTTGTGATTGGTTGGAGCTCAAAATAGAACTGCCAAGAGCCACGTGTAAACCTGTGTACCGAAGGATACCTCACAAGATACTACCGCAGGTGGAGAAACAGATACGTGTTATGTTGTTAAAAGGTATCATCCGTAAAAGTACCAGCCCGTACTCGTCACCAGGTCTGCTCACTAGAAAATCTGACAGTACTTACAGATTCTGTTGACTTTCGAGAACTGAATCTTGTGATCGTAAAGGACGCCTTTCCGATGCCACTGACGGATGAGATATTTGAACAACTCCACTCTGCACGAGTACTGTCACTAATCGACTTGGGTATTGGCAACTACCAGTGGCAGCCAGCAACAGAGAGAAAACAGCGGGCAGCAATACGAATTCGTTCGGACTGTGCAAAGCACCAGCCACGTTCAGACGTCTGTTGCTACAGATACTGGAAAACTTGGATGGTGTTGTGGTGTACGGGGACGATATTGTTGTGTTCTCGAAGACCAGAGGAACACGTGCGTTGGCTGGAAGCGGTGTTGGGGGAGAATCAAAAGGCTTGAAACTCAGTGCGAAAAAATGCCAAATCACTCGGGACATAATCACCCGTTTGGATCATATTGTTGGCGGAGGTAAAATTAAACCGTTGCCCGAGAAGGCTGAAGTGATTTGAAATTTTTCTCCTCCAAAGTCCAACGGCCAATTAAGATCGTTTTTGAGGTTAGTGAGATACGACGCAAAAATTGTACCGCATTTCGCTGAAAAGGCTGCCCCTTGTTCCAGTTGTTGAGAAAGGTCAGGAAGTTAGAGTGGACGCCATAGTTGGAGACGGTCTTCCAAGAGCCAAAAACAACTACAGCCTCTGAGAGATGTCTGAAAATACCAAACCCTGCAGTAACCTTCACTGTGGCCTTTGATGCTAGCGACATTGGAATCGGAGCAGTGCTGTCACAACCGTCCGGAGTAATTGAATATGCCA